GCTGGTGGTAATGCCGATTAGTGGTGATAATTTTAGAATTATCCCACCCAATTGAGGAAATTCAGCTTTATCAGAGCATACATGCCTAACTAACCATTCAATGGGGTGGGATAACTTCTTCGGTTACATTCATTAAATCTGCAAACCAGAATAGCATCAAACTATGTCTGAGTTATGAATTTTTTTAACGACAAAAAAAACAGATTCTATTGTTTTTTCGTCCTAATTTGCATACTTTAAAAACACAACAAAGAAAGTTAAATAATCTACTAATGAAACATTTTCAGTTTCGATCCCCAGACACAACAAAGAAAGTAACAAAAGCCTCGCAGTTATTGGTCTTTATTAGCTTGAGTTAAATAATCTACCGATGAAACATTTTCAATTTCGATCCATGAATAAATTTAGTAGAGTATTTAAGAAACAGCTGACGAGATAAACATCACGATTGTACCGTATTACTGTAATCACAAGCGACCAGAAACTCGAAATGGCAACGAAACTTACCACTGCGAAACATCAGTTGTAGGAAGAATTGACGTGTTTTTTGGTGTGAAAACTTTTTTTTTATAAAAAATTTGGTCAAAATTCGGGGTGCGTGTTATACATGGGCGCGTATTATACACGGGTAAATACGGTAGTTACATGTAACCTACTGTAGGAAAATAATGAAAAATAATAATAATTACATACCCATAGTGAGTTGTCTTAAAATATCCAACCCTATCACAGAGTTTTTCTGCTTGTTCCACCTCCAGAGGGGTGTTAACCACCAAAGCAATTCCCACACTGTGTAGGATTTTGAGCCAATCGAAAAGTGCACCATCGTCCTCCATGAGGTCCTTAAAATCGAGCTTAGGAACTTTTCCCTGCATTGTTTCAGCATTCCAAAACTTTACCCCTTCCTTATTAAGATTAGGGAGCATAACGCTGCTTGGATCATCCTTCGCGTCGACCAGTCGACGAGAGTGCAGCCAGTCTGAGTCAAATACACTAACGTGTCCGTCGGGCCACGCAATGACTATCTCTTTCCCATCTAACCTCACGTCGTAGTTCTCCGGTAAAATTTTCGGATCTAACTTGCCCACAGTGTCAAATGATCGCTGGTAGGCGGATTCGTGGAAGCACTCCGAGCACTGGCAGTTATCGCGGAGGTACGCAAAAGGATAGCGATTCATGGAGTTGTTATTCCATGTTACGTGTAGCATACCACCTTCTGCTTTCTTCTCGAGTTTCTGGACAAGAAATCTGGAAGCTGTGATATTCGCAGCTTCAACTGCCGTCGACATCGGGCTTAATAGCCCACATCGTATGATAAGGGGTGTCCTAAAAAGTTGCCTAACAAAACGAGACATATTTTTTTTCTAGGTTTCGTGCATCATTGCACAACTATACTAACCAGAATACCTTGCGGTTACTACCAAGGTTTTCGTAGCCGTTCAACTCTCATATACCGGGTTCTGAAATAACTAATAATTAACTGATAGATATAGCAGAAGGGTAAAGTGAGTGGGTACAGAGGATCAGTGAACAATGGCCACAGCGGACCAGTGAGTACAGAGGACCAGAGAAACAGTGGGAACAGAGCAATAGTCTTTATCGAAGGGTAAAGTGAGTGGGTACAGGGATCAGTGAACAGTGGGCACTGCGGACCAGTGAGTGGTCAGAGGACCAGAGGAACAGTGGGAACAGAGGAACAGTGGGAACAGAGGAATAGTGGGAACAGAGGAATAGTGGGAACAGAGGACCAGTGGAACAGTGGGCACAGAGGACTAGAGGAACAGTGAGAACAGAGGACCAGTGGGTACAGAGGACCAGTGGGTACAGAGGACCAAAGGACCAGTGGGTACAGAGGACCAGAGGAACAGTGGGAACAGAGGACCAGATGACCAGTGGGCACAGAGGATCTGAGGACCAGTGGGTACAGAGGACCAGTGGGTACAGAGGACCAGAGGATCAGTGGGATCAGAGGACCAGTGGGTACAGAAGACCAGAGAAAAAGTGGGAACAGAGGACATGAAGGCACCAGATGGGACAGTGCTAGAAGACACCAAAAATTGTTGAAATCCTATGACTGCATTTTGAGTGATTCATATAAGGTAGCAAATCATTTTCCAACTCTGAACCTTGTGTTTCTGTACTGTAAGAATATTATTTAATGTTTTTTCCTTTCAGTCACAAGTCTAAAAGGCTAAGTTTAGAAGTAGGGCAAAATTTTTTTCCTATGCAAAAT